GGGGGGGGGGGGGGGGGGGGGGCTACAGCCTAGCCCCACCAAATCCGTCTCTGATCTTCCTTTTTCACTTGTAAACACTTCTTTGCAAGCATAGCAGCTATTAACTACTCACTGTTTTATTCACATACAATCGCATCATCAAGCATCCTTGCTTCAGCATTTAGCTTGATGCCTTCCTTCCTGTTAGTAACTCCACAAGGACTACTCCGAAGCTATAACCATCACTCTTCTCGGTCAATTGACTTGTTTGCATGTATTCAGGGTATCCAAATGTTCCTTGTACCATAGTGGATAATTGGGTTTGATCCAGAGCAATCAATCTTGATGCTCCAAAATCAGACACTTTTGCAGCAGTGAAAACTAGTATCTAAAAGAATATTTTCTGTTTCGTCATCTCTATGTATGATTGGAGGTGAAGCTGCTGAGTGCAAGTACACAAGCACTTCAGCAGTTTCTGCAGGAACTCTTAGTCGCATGTCCCATGAAAGTGCATTGGCCTTTGTTTTATTGAGTATGCGTTCAAAAAGGGTGCCATTATCTATGAATTCAAAAACTAGCAAAGGAACTTGCATCTCTAAACAACCACCAAGAAGCCTGACGACATTCCTGTGGTTGATCTGAGAAAGTACAATCACCTCATTGATAAATTGCCGACTTGATTTGGATCAATTTCTTTGGACTTCTTGATGGCATCTATTCTATTGTATACAGTTCCAAAACCTCCTTGACCAATAATCATACTGTCACGGAAGTTATTTGTTGCCTTCTTGAGCTCAGCAGAAGTGAATATTTTTGCCGATTTTGATGACCTCTCTCTTCTGATGCGTTGTTCTTGCAACAATATACCACCACTTTGAAGAAAGAATTAATGCTTCATCCGGATCAGTTTTCTTCTCGAGTTCCAAGTACAGTGAAAAGGCAACAAGCATAAGAAAAATGACCCCTAGAGCAACCCCTGTTAATAATTTTTTTCAAATGGAAAAATGAATAGATGTTAGTTCTTGTCCTGCTATTTTAATTAAACAAATGGACATACATTATAAAATTATGCAAGGAAGAAGGAGAAGGAG